AAAAAAAAAAAAACCAAGAACATTAAAGTTAAAGTTGTAGGCAACTGGAAGGAGGATGGGGAGGGGGAGATTTTATGCTTTCTTAACGCCACTTGGGAGATTTCTTTACTTATTTCTGAACTTATTTCTTAAACCAGTAGAAACATCAGGATTTGCCAATTCCAGTTTTGCTGCAAAAAAGAAAAAATAAATCCATGGACAAGAGAACTTCATAAAAGGTGAATGAATACTAGAAGAAAAGGATTTTCTGCTGGACTGTTGTAACTTGCTAAGTTTACAGCTATTTAACTTGACCTCCGGCAAACACTTAGGAAATAGTTAAGAAGTTCAACTACTGTCATCACCACTACCACCATCCCTTTTCTTGTCCAGAGATTGGTACAAGAGTCAAGACAAGGTCAGGCAGATAGGTGCCCACATGGTTGGATGCATGTGATCTTTTCAAAGTGTCTGTCTAAGAGAAGGCACAAGAAAAAACAGGATGGTTTTTTGAAAGTTATTTTGTTTAGTCCTAAGTCAGTCAGGATGGTGCCTGTACCCAATAACCACCTTATATGCATAACTGTGCATGCCCATTTCCAGAAATGTGGACTTTGGTTTAGCCTTTTTGCAATAGGAACTTAACCAGTAGACTGACTAGACTTCGTGTCATTATCGAGTTCTCTGGTCCACTGAAGTCTTCCCTCTCAGTCTTAACTGAACATGACTGTATGGTACTCTTTAAGGCTGCCATTATAGATGCCTGCAAGCAGACAACTACACAGGCCCAGAATTCTACCAGACCTCTGGAGTTCACTGGTAGATTTAACTGCTACCAGGGTGGATTTGATTTAAATCAAATCCTTTTAAATCATTATTAACTTTACGATTTAAATCACTGGTTGAGATTTTATTTAATCATTTTCTACAAAATGTGCATACTTGTTGTTTGATACCCTTTATTCATTTAACTTCTTGAAACTTTGCACTTTTAAAGGAAGGTAAGAGCTTGATTTTGGGTGCAGAAACTTGAGAGAGAGAAAATAGGGCTGATGGGCAAGTAATCAAGTCTTCTCTTTCATCTCCATACACAGACATTAACAAGGATGTTCTCTCTATAGAGATACAAATCCACAGTTTAAGAACTGAAACTAAGCATCACAGAGATGCTTAATGGGATCTTCTAGAGTCTAGAATCTACACTGAGCACAGAGTCCCACTGGGTAGAGTGGTTTTCTTAATCTTTACTAATCTATACAGGAACTTCTGGGAACCCCATAAGATTGGGCCCCTGATATAGTCTATGACCCGTTGTGAATTATTTACAAAACTTTTTAGGAAAGTTTACATTAATATATTGGTTCATACTATATAATTAGAAGTTAGAATCCCTTTTTCATGATGATACCTTTGAATTTTAGCATCTCTTATATTAAAACTCTCTTTATACGGGGTTAATTTTTTTAAAAGCATCTTAACCAAAAAAAATCAGAAAATACAGTTAAATCAAATTTATCCAATTTAAATAAATCTGTTTTTTTTTTTTAAATAGTCAATTTTTTTTTTTAATCCACCTTGGCTGTTACCTTAGTGAAGTGCAAAAGCTTAAACTCTCAGCATAAGCTTAGTGAGCTGTCATTTAGGACATCCACCTTACCACTCCAATTTTAACCAAGTCCTGTACGACCGTAGTACTCATCACCACAATTCAGACAGGTGTACCAGCTTTCAAAGCGCGCTATAAATGCGGCCCATGGTGCTTAACCACCTCCCAGCTTTTGGACTGTTGAAGGCAAAGACTTTAAAAGATCTGGCAAAAATGACTACCTCTGGAGCTAACTCTAGGTGCTCCAATTTACTACTTGATGAAGTCACACTGTGCTCTCTACCTTCTGCTTTACAGAGCAAAGGGGGCTGGACTGCATCTGCCTAAGCCATTCTAAAGATACTGGCATCAAGCTATCAGCATCACATTTTAAGCAATTCAGCTTATTAATACAGTGCGAGTCACTACTTCAGCTAAACGATGGGAAATATACGCTGTGTTTGAACAGGTTACCTCCACAAGACAACCAAAGGGAATTATGTGGAGTATTCCATAAGGTGGATTTTTCCTGTTTGGTTGTGAAGTAAAATTTTGAGTACAAAAAAACGACCCAAAGCCCAATACAATTTTTTTTTTTTTCCAGATGAAACAGAATTGGAGGGTACTCTCCTCAGCTGAGACGGCACACAGCACCTCCTGATTAATCAGGATGGAATCTGGATTAAATCTTTCCCGCCAAAGTATATTCCCACAACATTTATGATCAGATTCACACCACAGATGCAAGACTTATTATTCTACTCCATACACAAAAAGCTAGCCACACACCTGGAAAATGCCTTCCACATTTCACCCAACTTATCCTCTATCAATCGTATAGTTTCCACCAGTGCCCCTGCCCACATTATTAGTGGCAGTGCTTATTATTAGGAACAGTACCACCGAGTTTGACAGGTTTACAGACAGTGCCTACATGTTTAGTCTCTTAAAAAGAGGTTATAGAATTGCTCACCGTAAACATCCAGTGCAAAGCATTCAAGATCACCCTTGGGGCACTCTAAATATGAGCCAGTGACCTAAGCAAGGAGGTCAATTTAATCTTCTTCTTCTGTCACTTGTCCCTTCTAAACAGGGTCACCGTTGCAGATCCTGGCTCTCCACCAACTTTGGTCATACATATCAGCTTCTTCCAACTCCTTCTCTCTCACATCCCTCTCCACTATGGCCATGCGAAGCTTCGGTAGCCGATTTGATTTCAGAGGAGATTTGGCAGCTGAATCCCCGAATCGAATAGGGAGACCCATTAAATGGTCCGAATCAAATTGGAAGCATCCAAATCGATTCAGAAAAAATTTGGACAAAAGATTCGGAAGGCAGGCTTGCAGGAAACAGAAACTGGGAGGGGGGTGGAAGGAGGACTATTCTGATATTGACATCTGTAGCTGGCCAGTGACTGATCTTTCCCTGCGTTCCCTTCCAATCACAGTGCTCTAGGGGAGGGACATAGAAACAACATAGAGCTGTATGCGTCTTGCAGCAGCAGCATCTGAAAGGTTCTGGCTTGGCAACACTTCATCAACCTCCGAGATACAAAAACTCATGGACTCAATATAGACATTAGATTTATGACACACTATAACCTGCCTGACATCTGACTCCCCAGGTACCTCTCCACTTTTA